GCACTCCCAGGATAGGGACAGCACAGGGTTAGATACTGAGTAAAGCTCCCTCTACACCACCCTAATGCTCTGTTCTCAATAGCACAAGTATTCTGAGAATAATCAGTCAAGTGGCAGCTCGTGCCTTGTCAATCAGAGGTCTCAATAATAGAGAACAGTGTCTAACCTTTGCATCCACCATCTCTGCACCTGCCTCTGGGATTGATGATTCTGTTCTGAGACAGAGGAGAGCCACCTTACACCAAATGGCACTCACTTCTGGTTTTGAAATGCTAATTAACAGCTTTCTCCCTCAGACTGTGAAGTTACACATGGTTGGAAACTGGACAAGTGATTAAACCAATTTAAAAGACACAGCATCTCATATCTCTCAGGAATGTACCAAGGACCATGACATACAACAAATTACCCAAAGTTGCTCCTTAGGCCACATCCCCTCACCTCCCAAGCCAGCATTCCATTTCATTCACACAATTCTGTGCAGTTACATCAGGGAGCAGCAGTGCTCCAGGCAATACATGGTACACCATCCATCCACTTAAAATCCTAGTCGGGGCTAAATCTCATCAGACACCACCAGTAACAGGGCAGCACATCCTCAAGAGTGGGTGCAGGCTTCTGCTCTCCCTGTCACCTTCTCCATCCCCCTCCCTATCTCTGCCACCTTCTCCAGCCCCCTACCATCCCCACATCTGTCACCACTTCCAGCCCCCACACCCCCTCCGTATTGCTATCACTTTTACCAACTCCTACACCACTTAGATGATTATTGACAGTTAACTGCCAAGCTTTAAGTTCTAAACCAGGCCTTGTTGAATCTGATTGGTCAAGGACCTGCCCACCATATGACACCTGCAATTTATTTTGTTGAACTGTTATAGGAACTGGTGAATTCTCCAATGCAATATTCCTACTCATGAGCACACATCTCACAGTACGACTGTTGCTTTTCCTTTACATTAGTAGTCTTGCTAATTGTCCTGATGAGTGCAAGATAAGGAGCTTTGAGAAGGGCCTTTTTTTTCAGAAATGTTCGAGGTTTGTCAGTCTGCAATTTTTTGAAATGCTCTGTAGTGACCCAGTGGAAAGCTTGCAACTAGCTCCATCCCCTTCTCTGGGCAGAAATACATGTAATTAATTTTGGAAAAAATCAAATGTAGCAAATCTTCAAGTCTCCCTGAAATGAAATGTTATCATTTTCACAGAATGCCAGATTTCAGTACAAACTATGCATCACCAAAACAGGAATCACATTATAGTCAAAAAGCACGGAAACAGATCCTGCGGTCCAACTAGTCTACCCCAACCATGTTCCCAAACTAAACTATGTCAACTTCACTGCATTTGACCCATATCCCTTCAAACGTTTCCTAATCACGTACCTATCTTTTAAATGTTGTAAGTGTACCTGCATTCTCTGGCAGGTCATTCCACACAAACCACCAGGTAAAACAGTTGTCCCTCACATCCACTTTAAACTTTCTCCTCTCACCTTAAAAATATGGCCCCTGGTTTTGAAATTCCCCACCCCAGGGAAAAGACCTTTGCTATCTACTTCATCTATTGCCTTCTTGATTTTATAAACCTCCACTAGCTCATTCCTTAACCTCTGATGTGTATAACTCAAACTTTCCATTCCCAGCAACATCCTGGTAAATCTTTTGAACCCTCCGAATTTAACAACATCTTCCCTATTGTTGCATACTTACTGCAAACAGACCATTTAGCCTATATTTGCCCCACGTTCTTCAATTTCTTTCTCCTGGTTTATCCAGTTTCCCTCTAAATGCAGACACTAGGTGCTTGGTAACCTTTGTAATCTCATAGATTTGTGATTGACAAGTGAGTCGTGAGCTACAGCATGTGACTGGGGGGAAGTTGAGATTGTAGGGAAAATGAAGCTGAATTCTCATTCAGATCAGATATATTCTTATTGAACAGCACAACCCATTCAATGGACCAAATAGCCTGCTCCTTGTTTAAATCACTTTCACCTCAACCACTCCTTGTACAGGTGAGTTCCACAGTCATCTGTCTCTCTGGGTAAAGAGGTTTCTCAATTGCCAATTGCACCCTCAGATTGTTGGCACCCCTCGTATTCTGGTTCTACCTACTGCAAAGCCCTCCAGAATTTGTGGCCTCAAACAGATCTCACCCCACAACTGCCTAATTTCTACACCAAAAAACCCAACCTGTTCAAATGCCCCTGCTAATTACAAACTCATCTATTTTTATTACCTTTTGCCTCTCTACCCCTTGTAGAATATGGAGACCAGAATAGTACAATACAAATCTAATTAAGGTTGTGTATCAATTGATCAGAACTTTGTTTGCCAATTCTACCCCTTAGAAAACAGCTCCCCCAGTGTTTGGTTTTGCGCTTCCCTCCTGGTCTTATTAACCCATGCTGTGCCTTAATTGCTTTTACTGACCTGTTTAGGTGTTCTAGGCCCCTCTAACCCATACACACTTGAAGCATGCAGCCTCCAATCAGAGAGCAGCAATTCTCTCTCACATCATGGGGCAGCACAGTGGCTCATCGGTTAGCACTGCTGCCTCAGAGTGCCAGGTACCTGGGTTCAATTCCACCCTCTGGCGACTGTGTGGAGCTTGCACATTCGCCCTGTGTTTGCGTGGGTTTCCTCCCACAGTCCAAAGTTGTGCAGGTTAGGTGGATTGGCTATGCTAAATTACCCACAGTGCTGAGGGATGTGTAAATTAGGTGAGTTATAGGAGGATGGGTCTGGGTGGGATGCTCTGAGTGTCGATGTGGACTTGTTGGGCCAAAGGACCTGTTTCCACTCGCCTATCCTTCAAATTCATTAATCCGCCCCCCTCTCAGGGTTGAAGACACGGGCAGTGAGCTGATACCCCACTCCCCACGACATTGTACCACTAGCTAATGAGAAAGTAAAGGAACAGTGACAAACTCAGTGGATGTTGCCTCCTTTGCGTACTTCACACCTTTTCCAGTCCAGGCATTGAGTTGAGGGAGCAAACAAGAATGCAGTTGTGACTGAAAGGGCAGAGAGCACACCCAGCAAGGGACAGACAGAATTGGAGAGGAGTGGTTTTATCCAATCTCTGACTGTGTTCCTTCACTCCATACCAGGATGCTGCAGCTCCTCCAACATGCTCCCCATCATTACTGCTTGTACTTCAGAGCCAGAACACCAAGAAGACAGGAAGGAGGAAGCCTACCATTGGAAAAGACGCAGAAATCGCCTTGGGGTCCACATTTTAATCTTCCTGCGGCTGGGGGAAACAATCCCAACTTACCTGGACTGCTTCGGCCCAGCCGATTTCCATCTTATTGTGTTAAGCAGTCAGGAACTGGAGATGAATCAGACCTTGGGCTGCTCTTGTAAATCAGGGTTTGCATTGTGGCAATGAACACAACCACCTCCACCCTGCCCCTGTCCCCCAAACCAATGCAGGAACACGCAGCCTTCCTTTATGGGGAGTCCTCCTTTCACTGAAGTACGACGTACAAAAGCAAGCAAGGCCGTTTCCTGTTATCATCACTGCACAGACTTTCTCCTGAATTACACAATCGTAGCACTGTACAGCAGGGATACAGACCCTCTGTCCAACATGTCCATGCTGACCAGATATCCTAAATTAATCTAGTCCCATTTGCCCATATCCTTCCAAACCCTTTGTATTAATGTGCCCATCCAGATGCTGTTTAAATGTTGTCATTGTACCAGCCCCCACCACTTCCTCTGGCAGCTTGTTCGATACACGCACCACCCTCTGTGTGAAAAAGTTGCCCCTCAGGTCCCTTTTCAATCTTTCCCCTCTCATTTAAACCTGGGCCCTCAAGTTTTGGACTCCCCTACACTGGAGAAAAGGCCTGGACTATTCACCCTGTCCATGCCTTTCATGATTTTATAAACATACTAGCTGAGTGAAAGCTTTCAATGCTAAGGTCACATCGGTGATTGTCTGCATAAGCACAGGCATGTACAAACTCAAAACTAAGCAAAGGAAACCCCTACGGGAGTTTCAAGTAGCTCGTGCTTTTGGTTATAATGGAAACTTTCATTTCATTTTCACTGCTGTTGCCCACTTTCAATCTGCCTTCATTAGGTTAAAACTGCCCAAGTCAGGCACTGCCAAATTGAAGATATCCAAAATATTATTTTTGCTCAATTCTGGTCGAAACTAGCTGAGCCATATTTCTGATCAGATCTACTGTAGCAGTTAACCATTAGTACTCTATCAGAACAGAATGGCAAGAAAACCAAATCTCACCAAGGGAACAACAATTTTTACCGCACGAGGAAAGGGTGCTGACTGGCTGGCAAATGCGTTCTGATTGGTGGAGACATCACCATGGAGAATGCACCAGATGAGTCAGCTGCCAATTTTCTTTCTCCATGGCAACACCCCGACCAATCAAGAGCCTACTTACCAACCCATCAGCACGCACTTCTCATGCAGCATAAATTGGTGTCCCCTTTGAGATTTGGGATTCTTGTGATTGTCCTCACGTGCAAGAAAACCCTTGACAGCACATCTCTTTCCCTTAAGCAAGGCTGGAGTCCTCAACTACTGGGGGCTATATGTTGCATTTTTACTACTTCACCTATCCAAAAAGTAAACACTGGGGGGTGGGGGGTGGAATCCAACACAAAACAGAAGGGAAGGTTTTTACGTAAAATTGAAACTGAATATCCCAAAACATCCCTAAAAACTAGACCTCAAGAAAATGTCAAAAGGAGCCTCCAGAAAACAAACTAAGTTTGATCCCTGCCCTGTACCTTGTCCCAACTCTTTATTTTAAATTTATTGTAAAACGTTGCAGAATTGTGTAATTGGTGAACAATGATTCTTGTGGAGTTCTATTCCCAACATTTGGATTGTCCAGGTAAAATTACTTTTACCCAATTTCTGTAGTTCATTTTGAAGTCAGTTCACTACCCATTTGTGCCACACACTGAAAGGAGGTATATCTTCTATCAGTTTCCTTAGGCAAAACCTTTTGAAAATTTAAATGTTTTGCATCCACAACATTACCTTTAATGATCCTTACTGTGTTCAAATATGATCACCACTTCTGAAAACTGGCTATGCTACTGTATTTACACAAAAACAATTTCCATTCCCTTGAATACAGGGTGATCTAATCAAAGCATCTAAGGTGGTTAAAGGCTTCGATAGGTTTGATTGGAAGAAACTATTTCCCTTGGTTTGGGCTGGGGGGGCAGAAATAGAGGGATGGGAGGAAAAAAAAATCCAGAACACGGGAGGGGAACGAGGGTACAGAACCTGGTGATGTCAGGAAGTGTTTCCTTCAAACAAAAGGAGGGAGTAGAAACGTGGAAATCAGTTCCCTTACCCCAAAAGGAAAAACTGTCGGGTTGGGGGGTGGGGGAGGGCAGGCAAATCGGAAATATCAAGGACAAAGTTAGGATTTGGGTTAAGAAGGTCAAGGGTTCAGGAACAAAGGCATGTCACAGAAGATACAGAGCATCCGTAGTGCAAGTCGGGGTTAACTTGCTCTTCGGTCAACAAGCAACACAGAACTGTTAGAACAAAAACATGAAGTGACCAAATTACAAACCAGAGCCTTTCTTGACAAACTGGGAGCATTAAGCACCCCTCCCAACCCTACGAGGTGCAGAAAAATCCGTGCTGATGGAAAATAAGCACAAACCAATCCCACCACCAAACTCAGACGACAGAGTGAAAACCCAGCGTTGACAGTCTGAGCTCCGTGGTCAGGAGAATGCAGAACACGAGGGGGATTTGCCCCCAAGGGAGGCATGCAGCTGCTTAAGGTGCAAAGGGGGATTGGGGGGAGGGCAGTGTGAGGTGGGGCCAAAGGCTTTTAAAATGAGGAGAGTGACTCAAGCCATTAGCAATTTTTTTTTATGCTATGTTCACATTTTGATTTTTTTTAAACCACTGGATCCAGGCTCTGATAGCAAATACAGAACACAGAAGCAAAGTGGGAGACGGGCAGGGTGGGGGGAGAAAACCAGGCCAACAAATGCTGTACAGCGTCAGTGTGTGTATGTCTGTGTGTGTGCATGTCTTTTCCTTTTTTTTTACAAGTCAACAGGACAAACAGTGTTGTTTTCAATTAAAGCACTGGACGATACGTACTGTAAAGGGGTGGAGATGAGTTTCGAACGAGCTGTTTGTTTTTTTTCCCCCGTGCGTGTTTTGTATCACTGACTGAAAATGTCAGTTTACTATCCTCCTGAGGAGCCTGCTCTCCCGCTGCAGAATAAAATAAAATGGTGGGAACGCCAGAGGCGGGGGGCTCTTCCTCCCGTGTTTAAGAGGGCTGCGAGCCCAGAAGTCTCTCGATAGCAGCGTTTATGTCACCTCCAGTGGCTATGAGTGCCTGAAGGTTGGCCTCACGGTTAATGAAACCCATCGCGCTGAGCTGCTCCAGTTGCTGCTGAAATCGCACTTCAGGGTTTTGTACCTGCAAGGGGTGAGGAGGGAAGAAGCAATTAGTAAATGGTCTTTGTTCTACTGGAAGGTTAAGCAGCTTTGTGCATTACTGTCCTGTTGTAGTTCGAACGATGATGACTTGAGGCTCCCAGACCTCGTTTTTAATCTAATTCATTCACGGGATGAGGCCAGCGTTGGCTAGGCCTGCATTTAATGCCCACATAACTGACCAGAGGGCAGCGAGGAATCAACCACATCTAAGGGGAGGTGATGGCCTAGTGGTATTATCACTGGACTGTTAATCCAGAGACCCAGGTAATGTTCTGGGGACCTGGGTTTGAATCCTGCTGCAGATGGTGGAATTTGAATTCAACAAAAATCTGGGAATAACGGATCAATGATGATCGTGAATCCGTTGTCGATTGTCAGGAAACACTCATCTGACTCACTAACGTCCTTTAGGGAAGGAAGCTGCCATCCTTAAACTGTCTAGTGTACATGTGACTCCAGATCTACTGCCCTCATCCCATGTGAGTCCGGAGTCACATGTCGGCCAGACCAGGTAAGGACAATTTCCTTTCCTCAAGGATGCTAGTGACTGAAATGAGGTTTTTTACAACAATCAACAATGATTACTTGGTCACCATTAAATAGCTTTTCTCTCTCCTCCTCCTATCCCCTCACCTTCCGGATTTTTGAATTGAAATTTCACCATCTGCTGTAGTGGGATTCGAACCTGAGGCTCCGAGTAGCTAGTCCAGTGATATTACCATCACATCGCATGTTAGGTGATCAGTGTCAATTACATGGGACAACACTGACAACCAGGAGAATCACAAAATCCAATTCTGCTGACTGTCAATCATACAAAGACTAAAATCTTTTATTGTCCTGTATTTCCAACTGTAGACTGAAATGGGAAAGTAACTGTTTACTTTAAAACCAAGGATTACTACATTTTTTAGAAGCTCATTGTAAGTGGTGTCTACACTGCTGTTTGTTAAAGCAGCAGGGCAAGGTTAGTCACGGAGGAACTAGCACTAAGAGGTGTGCGCGAAGGGAGATTCGGCCATCTACAAGTAGCTGATTGGTCTATGCAGTGCTGACAAAGACCTTCTGCCTGCCAACAGCTACGAGATTGGCTCCCTGGTAGCTGAGCAGCTTGGGGAATGTGAACAATACGGTCAGAAACTTTCAGACCTCTGAAAGGGAACTGTGCCATATGGAAGGTCCAATAGCCACGCTGGAAGGAAAGTGGGTAGCTCCATAGCACCGGGCCAATGTCTAATCCTCAACTAACACTGCGTCACTAGCACACTGCTGTACACAGCTTGACTGGTGCATTGCCTAGATTCAGCCAGTGATCATACTTCAATTGTAACTTATTCTGTGTCAAGCACTCTGGGGCATCGGAGCACACGGAATGGGAGGGGCAGCAGGTTGCCTCATCGTGTTAGGGACCCGGGTTCAATTCTCACTCTTGGGCGACTGTCTGCGTGGAGTTTGCACATTCTCCCCAGGTCTACGTGGATTTCCTCTGGATGTTCCGGTCTCCCCCTACAGTCACAAAGATGTGCAGGTTAGGGTGGATTGGCCACAGGATGCAGGGTTAGAGGGATTGAGGTGGGGGGTTCTTGATAGGATGCTCTTTGGTGGGTCGGTGTGGACTCAATGGGCTGAATGGCCTTCGTTCACACTGTAGGGATTCTATGATAACTTCAATGAATGTTATGTAAACGCACATTCTGAGTGGATTGCGGTTTGAGTACATCGCTTTGCAGAGTCTGGTGTGACCCAACAATCAATCATTGAACACCGGTTACTGCATTAGACAGCATGGGATACGATGAATGCTCCTTACTTGAGTGTTAGCCCCTGCTAACATCTGTAACATCTGCTGCATCAACTGCTGCTGTGGGTTGCTGGCCCCAGCCCCAGGGCCCACGGATGCCGGGCTCTCCGGACTGGTGTTGATGCCCCCAGTGCTCTGCGTGGTGGGTGCCGCTGACGATGCCGCCGTCGTCGTGGGCGTCGAGCCACTGCTAAGACTTCCGAGCCCACCCACTCCGCCGACGGAACCAGGAGCAGCGGGACTGAATCTGGGTGGGAGGAAACAAAGCATCACCACAAGCTCTTCAATGACCCATTTGTCTGTACACAGCAGCTTCACTGGTTGGACCCAGCATTTATCAGCCATCTCTAATTGCCCCCTTGCGAACTGCTGCAGCAACCCCGTGTGGCATAGGGACACCCTGCACAGTGCCGTTAGGAAGGGATTCCCGGCATTTTGACCCCGAGGGAACAGTCATCATATTTTCACGTTAGGATGGTGCGTGCGTGTTCGGGGCTCGGAGGGGAACTTGCAGGGGGCTGGTGTTCCCATGTATCTGCTGCCCTTGTCCTTCTAGGGGGTACAGGTCACCAGTTTGGAAGGTGTTGTCTAAGGAGCCTTGGGGGAGTCACTGGAGATGGTACACACTGCTGTGACTGAGTGTCAGTGGCGGAGGGAGTGGATGTTTGTGATTGCGATGCCAATCAAGCGGGGCTGCTTTATCCTGGATGGTTTTGGGCTTCTTGAGTATTGTCGGAGCTGCCCCATCCAGGCAAGTGGGGAGTGTTCCATCATACTCCTAACTTTTGTCTTGTCGACGGTGGGACAGGCTTTGGGGATAGTCAGGCGGTGAGTCACTCGCTGCTGGATTCCCAGCCTCTGACCTGCTCTTGTAGCTACACACTGTAGACAATGGGCCTGTGGGTTACACTGTCCCCTCCCGAGAACACATCACACTCTCCTCGGCCACATGCCCCAGTCCCACAAAGCAGACTGCCCTCAGACCAGTCAGAGCAAATCTAACCGTACTGGGTAAGGACATGCCACTCTTCAGAGAAGCCAAGTCCAACGGGTAGGTGAGGGAGAGAGGGAGAAGCGTGCAGTGGATTCCCTTCAGGTGGAAACAGTGCAAGAGGTGTGAGCCTGTGCAGTACCTACATACTGTGACATGGTGGGGAAGAGGGGAATTATCTCCTGAGGATTCAGACAGTTCAGCCTGTATGACATATAGAGCAGGAAACTGGTGTCCAATTCTGGAGAGTCACATGTGCAATGTGTGCCCGTACCCTGGCAGGAGTCCTGGTGCTTCGTTCTGCAGCGTCTGCAAACCCTGTTGGATCTGGAGCAAAGCCTGCATGGCCCGGGGGTTGGTCATCACCGACAACACATCAGGATTCTGCATCTGGAGGAGAGACAGTAGCCAGGTCACTCCACCCATCGTAGATGTACTGGGCTCTTTGAGAGCATTCTCCAACGTGCCCTCTTCCTCCCACTCCTTTCCTGTGCAGCAAATCCTTCACCTTCATCAATTTCTCAACTTTCACACTCCACTTGAAAGTTCCTATTGAACCTGCTCCGTTTCAGGCAGCGTATCCCAGGTCACCACAACTCGCTGCCTCAAACAAAAAAAAAAATCCACGCATCTCAGCCCTCTTCTGCTTTTGCCAATTCTCCACACTGGGTGTCCCTTAGTTACCAACCCAGCTGCCAGATTTTATACATCACCCTCCCAACTACGCTATCCAAACCTTTCAATTTTAAACTCCCTCTATCTTCTGCAGGTTTCTTTTTATGTATTCATATTTGGGATGTGGGTTTCGCTGACTGGCCAGCATTTATTGCTTGGCCCTAGACACCCTGAGAAGGTGGGGGTGAGCTACTCTTCTTGAACCGCTGCAGGTTGACCCACAATGTCCCTTAGGGAGCCAATTCCAGTATTTTGACCCACCAACACTGAAGCAACAGCGATATATTTCCAAGTCACGATGGTGAGTGGCTCAGAGGGGCACTTGAAGGTGGTGATGCTCCCATATGTCTGCTATCCTTGTCATACAGCAATACAGCATGGAAACAGACCCTTCAGCCCAAACTGGTCCATGCTGACTCAGCTAATTCCAATTGCTTGCATTTGGTCCATATCCCTCTAAACCCTTCTCATCCAGGTACCTATCCAAATGGTTTTTAAATGGTTGCTATTGTATCTGCCTCAACTACTTTCTCCGGCAGCCCATTCCATATACGCATCCCTCTCTGATTGAGGAATTTGCCCCTCAGGTCCTTCTTAAATCTATCCCCTCTCACCTTAAACTAATGCCCTCTGGTTTTCAATTCCCTATCCCTGGCGTTCATCCTATTGCCCTTCTCGATAGAAGTGGTCATGGGTTTGGAAGGTGACTAGTCTGTGAGACAGCTCACTTAATTTTGGCACCAGCCCCAGATGTTAGTGAGGAGGACTTTGCAGGGTCAACAGGGCTGTTTCTGCCGTTATCTTTTCCGGTGCCTAGGTCGATGTCAGGTGATCCGTCCGGTCTCATTTCTTTGAGATTTTTATAGCGATTGGTACAACTGAATGGCTTGCTAGGCTATTTCAGAGGGCAAGTGAGAGTCAACCACATGTGGACCAGTTCACACTGGATCATCTTTCACATAACTGTTTAACCTCACAAATATAAAAGGAAAGTGCAACAAGGTGCCTGCCTTGACAGTGGCTTTAACCTTTAACATACAGCCTTAGGACAGAGGAAAAGGTTCACGCCTTGAGAATAAAACAAGAACTCAAATTCCACACACTATCCGCTAGGAACTGAGGATTAGGGTTAGAACACAAATTTACTCTTCCTTGGCACGTGGTCATCATTGCTGCCCTGGCCCTAATTACTTATTGAACAGTGTCTGTCTTACGACATTTCAGAGAGCAGTTAAGAGTCGACACCATCGCAGTGGTCAACACAGTCGATTACCTACCTTAATCAGTGAAACCGATATCTTTTTGATCAATGGTGGTTGTCACGGTCATCAACACTAGCACAAGCTTCCAATTCCAGATTTTACTGATTGAATTTAAATTCTACCACAGTCCATGATGGGGTTTGAACCAGTGTCCCCCCCAGAGGTTCCTAGTACATCACTGCTGACCCCCAAGTGAGACATCAATGGCTTCCCAAAGTCAATGTCCCCAACTACATACTGAGGCTGGAGTCAACTTGCCAGCAATTAGACCATCATCTCCTCCATCACCCTCATCTTAAGCAGGGACAGCACAGGGTTAGATACAGAGTAAAGCTCTCTCTGCATTGTTCCCAAACACTTCTCTGGCAGGGACAGCATGGGGTTAGATACAGAGTAAAGCTCCTTCTACACTGTCCGCCCCCATCAAACACTCCCAGAACAGGAACAGCACAGGGTTAGATATAGAGTAAAGCTCTCTCTGCACTGTCCCCTATCAAACACTCCCAAGGACAGGGATAGCACAGAGTTAGATACAAAGTAAAACTCCCTTTACATTGTCCAAACAGCTCTGATCAGATTAGTGTTTTTCCCCAGTATTTCCCCCCATTCCTCCTCATGCTGAACACAAGCTTGTTAATTTAGGGCTACGGTGGTTTTATGCCAAGTGCCAAGTCTTCCCTTTCCCCCAGTGCCCTGACTTGCTGCTCTAAGGGCTGAGTGAGGCAGCTGGATAAGCAGCACCTAAACAGCGGCCGAGAGCGAGCTTTACCTGCTGCAAGAAGACAGGCATCTGGAGACGGAGTTGATCCTGCAGCTGTGTGTTGCCAGCAAACAAGGGGTTATTCATCAAGATCTGCAGGAAGGAACAAGGGAGAATTGTTAGGGAAGACAACTACAGCAGACACACACACACACACAGAGGAAGGATGGGGAGGGAGAGGGGTAATCATTAGAGAAGTCAGGTACACAAGCCACATGCACATAGACAAAGAGGACTCATGAACCCTTAAGCGCTGAAAAGTGAGAAACAGGAAGCCTGAATAAATTTAGGGCCAAACTGTCTTTCTCAGATTTTTGGGGGGGGTGGGGTGGGGTGATGGTATCACAAGTGACTGAAGTTGTTTGCAAACCCCCTGCACAGCGAGGCTGCACCACATTCGTGTTCACATACATGGGTTGTGTGGTCCAGGGATTTACACAGGAGTACCAGCAACCTGGGGAGTCTGGAATATTCTTCACGTCAAACGGCACAGGGTCTCAGTGAGCGACTGAGCATGCACCCTGCTGCGCTGTTCCTGGGCCCTTGCAGGAAGTGGGTGTTAGGTAATGGCGTACTTTGCCAACTGTGCAACGACTGTGCAGCCTTTCCTGGTCATGGGCGCTACAATGGCAGGAAGTGACATTAAGGGCATTGACAAGTGCAAATAAATCTTGTGGCCAACAGCCCTTCTGCATAGTAACCATTTGGCTTTAAGGCAGGAGCGCCCGGGTCCAGAGCAGCATTGCAACAAGGTCACTGGAAAGGGAAAATGGAGGTGACAACTGAGGTCTGTTCAGCCTGATACTCACAATGTGAAGCTCGGAGGTCAGCAAACGCCATTAGCTCCTGAGGCATCTCCAATGAACAAAGAGGAAGCAACCGGAAAACACACAGACCTGCCCCTGACAGGATATATCTTAACGGAGTGAAGGCACCCTTTGTGTGCCATTCGACACAAATAGTGCTAGAGTGGACAATGTTTCTTATAGGGAAGATGCAGGAAGGATATTCTCCCCCATGCCCCCAGCTGGAAGGGCTGTCTAAAATAAGGGGGCAGCCATTTAGGACCGAGACAAGGAGAAATCGAGCTCAGTGAACCTTAGGAACTCTCCAGAGCAAAGGGCTGTGGGCAGCTCAGTCATCGAGTATATTCATGATTGAGATTGATAAGATTGCTAAATAGTGCTTTATTTTTTAAACTAGCAACCACTGCCAGTAAAAACTGCAGTGCATCCAACTAAGTAGTGAAGGGAGAGGTAGGGAGAGCAGAAAGGGACAAATCAAAATGGAGTTGGTGGGGGAAATAAAACACTGTATTGGCCACGCTGTCCACCTCTCTCTAAAGGCATCGATGGACACCACGTGCTCCTTCTCCAAGAAAACCCAGGCAAGAACATAACCATGGAAGAGGGGCAGGCAGTCAGCAGAGATGACCCGCCTCCAAGGCCCTGAACCTGTATATAGCCAGCCTGGCCAGGAGCAGACCCGTGAGGAGCTCCCCTGATCTGCCCACACCCCCTCCGCACTGGGTGCCCAAACATCAGGAGTATGGGGCTGAAGTGCAGCCAAAAACACAAAAGATTTTTCAAATAACTGAACAGAGAGTGCAAACACTCACAAGCGACATAAACATGGTCCACGGACTCCACAGTGCTGCAAAATAAGGAGTCGGGCTGGGAGTCTGTCATCCACCACAATCTACGGTTACACGCATCTGCTGCGTGCAACATTCTCCAAACCAAGTGTATGATGGAAAACGGGAGAACTCCCACATAGAGCGCCCTCCACTGGGGATCCCTGCCACCCAGCGACAAATAAGCACAACAAGGCACATCCAGAGGGCAGACACATTTCTAGATATTAAAGATATCAAGGGGATAGTGCATTAAAAGGGGCTGAGGTAAATGATCAGCCAGGATCAAACTGAAAGACGGAAAAGGCCCAATGGGCCAAATGGCTCCTATGAAGTACACAGTTCAGGTGGCATCAAAACAGGAAGATCGGTTAATGTTCCAAGTGCTTTGTCAGGCAACTACTGACCAAACCAGTAACAGGCAGCCGAGAGAGGCCATTCAGAGTTTGGGGGGGGGGGGGGGGGGTAGTAGTTGGGCTGTGGGACTAACTCGGTCTCTTTCTCAGAAGTGCTGGGACTGAGATGACAGCCTGAACGGCCACCGAACGGATGACTCAACAGTCACACAGAAAACAGCTGACGTCTGCACTGCCGTTGAAAGGGTCAGCACCAGCAGAGGTCTGTGCCGAACCTTCCAGCGCCCATCATTCTCTCAGATCCTTGTGGATCTCCCGGGCTGACCAGGGAACGGGCAGGTCAATCCGGTAGATCCCAAAGCAGAGTCACAGGCAGGTAAGCAGCTGCTGAGGGAAGCCCAGGCTGAAGGTTCGCTTTTTCTTTATTCATTCACAGGATGAGGATGTCGCTGGCTAGGCAGCATTTATTGCCCATCCCTAATTGCCCAGAGGGCAGTTAAGAGTCAACCACATTGCTGGTGGTGGTGATGCTACTTGGCTGAGTGGGGACAGGCAGTTCCCTTGTCACTGGCTGAGTGACCCACTACCTGTGAGGCGAGGTCAGGATTCTGGGACAGGGACTGCATCATGCTCCTCATGTACGGCGCCGACAGCATGTTCTGTATTAGCTGTGGGTTCTCTGAGATCTGTTGCATTAGGCTCTGCATCCCCGGGCTGTTGAACATTCCTGAAGGAAGAACAGACGGAGAGAAATTAATGAGGAACACGGCAGGGCGCTTGAAAGTGCTGACAGCTGCTTCTAGTGAAACTGCGCCATCACCGAGACAAACCCCAAAGTGCACCTCCACTCCCCCCAATAGGGGGGACAAAACCCCTTCCCCCAACATGCATGAGGCCTTCCTAGCCCCAAGAGTACAACCCCACACAGATTGGGTGCAGGGACAGGCTACTCTGCCTCTCGGGCCTGCTGCACCATTCTAGAAGATCGTGGCTGATTTGACTGTGGCCTCAACTCCTTGTTTCTCCCTGGCCACTCGAGTCAAGAACCTTTCCACCTTTGCTGTGAAAGTATTCATGAGCCATCCTCCGCTGCTCACTGGAGAAGAGAATACCAGCAACGCTCAACCTCCAGAGAGAATACTCCTCGTCTCTGTCTCAAATGGGAGACACCCCCCCCACCCCCTTTACCTTTTCTTTACTGCCTCTCAAGCTCTAGACCCCACCCCACCGCCGCCGAGAGGTAAATGTTTTCCCATCATCCACCCTTTCAATGTCCTTCAGGATCTTGTAAGTCTCAAGGAGATCACCTCTCACTCTGTGAAACTCCAGTAGGTATAGGCTCAATGCAGCCTCGTGTGAAAACCCACCAGTCCTGGAGTCAGTCAAGTGAACCTTCTCTGAACCTGCTTCCACTGAATTACATATTTTCTTCGATAAAGAGAGCAAAGCTGCACACGGTACTGCAGCTGGAGTTACACTGGGGCTGTGTACAAATGCGACAAAAACATCCTCACTTATACATCCACCACCTTTGCAGCCAGACAAGTTAGCCAACTTGACTAGATTTAAGTCAGGTGGTTCTTGTAGTGTAGTGGTAGTGTACAACCTCTGAGCCAAAAGGCCGAGACTGAAGAACACATCTGCTCCAGAGGCGTTCAATAACATCTCTGAACATCACGCTATTCCTTCTCATAGAATCATACAGTGCAGAAAAGGCCATCCAGACCAATGAATCTGCACCAACATAACTACCACTAAACCTGTGCTAATCCCAATTTCCAGCACTTGCCTTTTATCCCTGAATGTTACGATATTTGAAGTGCTCATCCAAATATATTTTTTGAAGGTTTTAAGGTTTCTGACCTCTACTACCTTAGCGGGGAGTGCATTCCAGATTCTCACCACTCGCTGAATGAGCTTTTTCTCAAATCCCCTCAATCTCCTGCCCCTTACCCTAAAACTATGCCCTCAACTATGGGAAACAGCTATTCTCTATTCAGTCTGTCCGTACTCCTCAATCATATACACCACAATCATGTTCCACCTCAGTCTTCTCTGCTCTAAAGAAAACAATCCAAGCCTATCTAGTCTCTCCTTATAGCTCAATTTCTCCAACCCAGGCAACATCCTGGTGAACCTCCTCTGTAGCCCCTCTAGTGCTATCACATTCTTCATGTAGAGGTGACCAGAACTACACACAGTACCTCCAGCTGTGGCCTGACCAATGCTCTGTATAACTGCAACATTACCTCCTTGCTCTTATACTCTATGCCACGACTGATGAAAGCAAGTGTCCCATTTGCCTTCTTAACTATCCTATTCACGTGCTCTGTCGACTTCAGGGATCTGTGAAATACGGCCCCATGACAGACAGCAGCTATTCTAGGCTGACATGCCCTTGTACCCTGACAGGACACCAGGCATGATTTCCCCACCTCTTGTGCCCAGCCCACTTTAAGGGGAGTCAGAACCAGACCAGAGCAGTGCAGGCCTGGGTCCTCCTCAAACTGTCTGCCTTCATGATCGCTGCACCAACTGCCCAGCAACTAATCAGTAATACTCTCTTCATGAGCTTCCTTCTGTTCAATCAGCAGCTCTCGCCAAACACTCCACCACCGAAACGGAAAATGCGATCAGTGAGCTAGGACGAGCGAATGGCTCAAGGGAGGACCACTGACCACCCTGACTCCCCAGCCAGAAGAGCTAGCAAAGGCCATTCCTCACACGTGTGCACAAAGCTCCTCCCATCACTCTGCAAGGGCTGGCAAGACGTCAAGCTGCACAAGCACACCCTCTGGAGGCCAGCCTAGGCACTGCAACAGCAAGCACCAGAAAGTGTGTAACTTTCGCAGGAAAGTTGGTTGTGGCAGAGAGACCAGAGAAGGCAGAAGTTCTGATGTTTGAGGAAAAAATGCAGGGATGAGCCGCTGGTACAGGGCAAAGATTAAGTACTGTCAACAATATAGAGGTGGTAACAACATAGTGAGAGTTTTACTATCTAACTCCATGCTTCCCATGTCCTGGGACTGTGAGACGGGGTCAGTGTCAAAGTAGCTTTACACTCAATGTAAGAGGACAGCAAGCTTTACTTTCAGTTTAAACGCTAAGAGGGAGCTTTATTCTGTATCTAACTAACCCCATGCTGTCCCTGTCCTGCGAGGTGTTTGATTTGGGCGGGTTGGAGGTTGTGAAAACAGTGTGGAGAGAGCTTTACTCTGTATCTAACCCTATGCTGCCCCTGGGAGTGTTTAATGGGGGAACAGTATTGAGGAGCTTTACTCTGTATCTAACCCCATACTGTCCCTGGGAATGTTTGATGGTGGACAGTGTGGATGGAGCTTTACTCTGTATCAGTCCCTGTCCTGGGGAGTATTATTTGATGGATAACAAGTGGGCTGAAGAGGTCAAATTTCTTTTTTCTAGTAACCCTTTTCATCTTATTGTCCAGATTATGATAAGGAATGGAGGCATTTGCTGCAACACCTTTGTGGATTCACAGGGTTCTAAAGACCAAGGCCACCTGCAGGTTACATACCGTTCCCGAGGGTTCCAGCGTTAATACCGAAGGGGTTCGATACAGGCTGTGTCGTCTGGTTTGTGCTGTTCCCTCCCTCACTACTTGAGCCGGTAGCCGGGGAGGCTGGTGACGTCGGGACCCAGGGATTCGGTAAGGGCTCCCTATTCTCAGTTCGGGACGGTTGGGCGTTGCTGTCGGAGCCTCCTCCCAATGCTGTGAACGGGTTACCGCCAAACTGGATAAAGGCAAAATACAGAAAATGAAGAGAGGACATTGGATCGTGAGTCCAGTGCATGCATCAACTGGGTCAGGGAGCAGAAATAATGTCCGTACAACCCCTTCAGTGAAAGCAGCGCAGAGATTTCAATGGGAACTGGAGACATTGAAAAGCTCAGGAGGGATAAACAAATTATTATCTTTAACTGACCCTAAGCAAGCATAACATGGCAACCACACATCATGGTACTGCAGTGACAGACCCGTCCCCACCGGTACCGTACCCCAGTGTTACACAGTGACAGACCCGTCCCCACCGGTACCGTACCCCAGTGTTACACAGTGACAGACCCGTCCCCAC